TTGTCCTGCATATAGATGTTGTGTGCTTGTTTAAAATTCAGATTTTGATTATTTTTGACTTCAAATTGTCGCATCTAATGTGTTTTCCCTTCTGAGGGTTGTATCAAACGAGAAGAAGGCGCTCTGACTGTAACTCGTCCGAGGTGATAACCGTGTTCCCCCAAGGATCAAGTGGTGCTCTGGCTGGATATTATGTCCTCACCCACCTCCTCTGCAACCTTTTTGAATATCCCCCCTTATTGTCGGAGTCTCTGGACAACCCTCCTTTTTGTTGTCCCAAAGCCCACCACCCTTCCCTTTGATGCCCCTCGCTGTCCCAGCCACCTGTTTCATTAATTTCGCTGTCCCTGACCCTCACCATTGCTATCGCAACCCGCCAATCGTTTTGTTGTTCTACTCGTCGTCTTTCCATTCGACATCACTACCGCAGCCCCACTTCCCCTTACTATCATATTTTTGTCCAACCATCCCATGTTTGTTGTCACCCTCAAAATAGCCACCTAAAATCCCTCGTTCCAACCGCCACCTTCCAACCATCCCAATCATCTGCCAACACTTTCAAACCCCTAATGGTCACCACTACCAACTTAAATCCGCCGTAGTGTGAGTTTTTGTGTCGTATTTGTTGCAAGTCCACTTTAAGTGTGTGAGTTGTAACCGTTAATTTGTTTTTGACTAATAGTATATGTTTTCCCTATTGAGGTTTGGGTTAACACCGATATCATGGAGTTAGTCAGATATTAACTTCAATTCATAAGTGTACCCACCGATAGATAGTCAGACATGAGAAATGAACTACAACTTTGAAAATTCACTTAAGAGCTTGGTTGGGAAGAAAATGCTACAGTGGGATCTAGGTCCTTTCAAGGAAGAAGAAAAAACCTTTCCTAAGTGTTTATACTTCAATGTGGTATAGTCTGCCATAGATTTCGATCCAAAGTTGATTCCTCTTGATAGACTTACTTATCAGATACATTCAACTGAGTACGACAAGTGAAAAAAGAATGATGCAGGCTTAAGTATGTAGGAATCTACAGTTATATGCAGCTTTAACGATTTGTGCCAAAAGAAGATGAATACTTGTTCTATTAGGCTGTGCTTTAGAATAACCATGTCTTCAAAAGTGACTTACAAGGAAGTTGCAGTAGTTCCACTACTTTTAACGTTGTCGACCTGACTGCTATGAGTAAACCGAAGCTCCTAACCCCAGAGAACTGACGCGAAAGTCATTCACCCTACTACAGTTCCACAAATGAAACTTCCCACAAAAAAATTACTTAGTATCTGCTAAAATGCAGCAAATTCCAGTGGACGAGTGCGGCATAGACGGTCCAAGAGGATCGATCGACACTTTCTTTACATGAATTTAACTTCATTTGGAGTAGGGCCTACTCCTATTTACTCTAAGTCTATAAATATGTTATTCTTCGTGTTTTTAGAGAGTTTTGGATTGTGTTTCTGCCAGAATAGCCTTCAACTTCCAAATTTTCCCCTTCTAAAGTTGTATCCAAAGACTGGCGATGTTCTAACTGTAGCATGTCCGAGATGATGATCTCTTTCCAATGGATCAAGTGATGCTCTAGCTATAGCTCATTCTCCTAGGGGTATTTATCTTTAACGTTTTCATCCTTCACATTCCTCCTGTCACTACCACTATCACCGCTTTTCTTCATTGTCAGAACCACTGAACAACAACTCTGATGTTGTCTTGCAACTCCGACCGCTAGCCACCACCTCCTCTAGCTACTGTCATCTCTTCCAGCCACCTCCCACGTCCCACCTCCCACCTCCCACCTCCCCCTTGCCTATCTTCCTTGTCCAGCCATCCCCCTCGTTGTTGCAGCCCGAGGACAACCCAACCTTTTTTGTCCCGTGCTCCCACACATTCCCCATCGCTTACGCCTTCATTCCCGCTCCCTTTTGTCGCCCAAATGAGCCTCTCTTGGTTGTTTGTTTTCGAAACCACTGAACAACAACTCTGTTGTCGTCCTGCAACTCTGACCTCTAGCCACCACCTCCTCCAATCATCCATTCCAGCCACCTCCCACCTTGTTTCCATTCATTCCAACTAACCATCTTTGTTGTCCAACCATCCCCCTCGTTGTCGCAGCCCGGGGACTGCCCTACCTTTGTTGTCCTGCAATCCCACATATTCCCCATCGCTTACTTCTTCATTCCTCCTCCCTTTCGCGGCCCAAATGAGCCGCTCCGAGTTGTCTGATGTTGTTTCAGCCCTCCAACTAGCCCCTACTAGCTGTCTTTCAGCAGGCCAACCTCCACCTTTCCCCATCACAATCCCTAGCAACTTCCCCTTCCTCCTCCTACAACCATCCACCATCTCGTCACCTTCCTCCTGTCGTCCACTCACCAAACAGACGATCACCTTTGAATACATTTAGCTGTATTTGTTTGCTTTGTTGTATTTCCTTGTCAAGTATGTGTGGTTATAACCGCCTATTACCCTATTCAGTAATATTATTTACATTCCTATTATTATTTAGTTAAACTTGGGTATCATGCGCAAAATATAATGTTTAAGAAAAAGAATTAAATCTATGACTTTGAAAAGCTGTACTGAAAAAAAAATAATCTTCAAAAGTACTTACATCATATATTGACGAGTCATCCTTTTTATGTTCATTAAAATTATCATCTGCATTTTGCTGTATCTCATTTCTGCATCAAACAAACAATTTGTTCTTATTCTAAAAAAAAGTTGTACAAAAATAGCCATGTGAACATAAATCAAGGTTATAACAACCGAAATATTTTCAACAACAAACAAGCAGATTTTCTGCTCTGGTTAAATAATAAACTGAAAATTAAAAGAAAATAAATTCAAGAGTCAAGATAGTCAAATCAAGTTCCTCACTTTCTTCCCTTATGGAATTGCATGTGAGATACATCGATGTCCTTCCGAATATTTCCAAATTCAAAAATTCGAAGTATTTATTGCTGGCTTATATATCCGACATCATAAAACAAATAAAATTTGCAAATTATAAAAGAAAGCAAAGTTCAAATCTAGGCAATTATTGGTATAGTATAAAACTAATTAATCCGATAAGAAATTTTGCAAACCTTACACACATCTGCAATGTTTGTATGCATGCATGAGCCTGCACAGTTTTAACTTGTGACTGAAAGGATCACAGATTACCATTATGATGCGCTGCATTTCCATCGATCTCAAAATATACATTTATGGAAATATTGCATGAATGGGAGAACATTCAAAAGCGTGTATGTGTATGAGAGTCTATAAGTATATTAATCATTTACCACCTTCTCATCCTATCTAGACATTCAAATCACATATTGAAGTTACAACAAAATAGAGTTTGACAAAAATGAAAAAATATGATGGGGGTAATGTTTATGAAGATAACATAATGAGAAAAAAAACACTTGAGATGGTTTGGCAATGTAAAAAACGAAAACATAAGATACAACAAGAAGGCAATTATATTTAATGAGAAAGAAAGAGGACTATGAACAAAAAGTGTTAGAATGGAATTACTAAAGGTTGTTCAAAAAAAATAACAAAAAATAGAATTATTATATTTTATACGGCAATAAAACAGGGCCTATAAAGCAAGAATAAAACAGATGCAATAAGACTTCTTGATGATGTTGATATTCTAACAATTCCATATCCTCATTTTCAGAATGATATATCCTCGTAATTGCATAATACCAAACAACATATATGCCCATATATGTCAAAGTTTCATCATAAAAAACAGAATTTGACCATTTATAAAGGAAGAAAGTGTGTGTATGCTGTGGGCGAGGCTCCAATGCTGTCAAAAGGAAAATGCCTTTTTTCCCTTATTGCGGCCAAATATGATGCACCAAATAAGAAAAAAACAGGGAAATAAATTACTAAATTTCATGAGCCATTTGCATTATTTCAAAGAAATAGTCAGTCACAGCAATAAAATGTCAATTAATTAATTATGAAATTTGGTAATACTCCATCGTGATATAGAATTAAATAACTTTTGTAAACGTGCTTTTTCAATGATGGAAATGAATGTTTTAATTTGGAATGTGAGAACTATATATATATATATATATATTAAAAGAAATCGGTATTTGGCAGAGGCCCAAATACCGATTTTCCATGCGCTATGCCCCATGATGAGAGTCCGCTTCGCCAGCGTCACTCACGCTCTGCTAGGGTTTCGCCTCTATGGCGAACCCTCGTTTCCAATTCATTGCATTTCTCTTCTCCGCGCTCGTCCTTCTCGTCGCTTTTGTCTTCGTCTTCATCTTCATCCTGAAGCAGCTGCTCACGATTCGTCGTCTCGTAGTTGAAAGGTTTGTCAGGCTCGGCCTCTGCGGCATCTCGTGCTAGCTGGAAAAGGGCTCGCGTACCACCTGTGTCTTCTTCGTGCGTCATTTTGGCAGTCCTCTGCTCGGCGTTTGCTCCTTCCTTCACGCGTCAGGTGCTCTGCAGCGCTAATCCTCCTTAGGTGCTTTTTCCTTCACGTGACAGGTACTCTGCAGTGCTTGTCTGAAGCAGGATAATGGCCTCAAGACTTTCCTACACCGCCGCTCTCGCAGGTGATAATCCCGCCAAACCCGCCGATGCTACAGTGGTTCACAAACGCAGCTCCCATTTCTACATTGCAGATAGTTCGATGTTCCCGCAAATGTACCATGATTCTGTTGCAGAACATGGAGATAGCAATCTTACCAAAAAAATAGAGAAAAAAACGGGCAAACCAGCACTATTTTTCTCTGAAGTTGAAATTTCAACTCGTGCAAGAAATATAAATTTTTACTAGTTAGAAAGTTTCAATTAGGTCGCCCTAAGATGAAAATTATCATGAAGGTTTTTGAAAATTTCAAACTAGGTGGGGCTTTGCAGGTGGGTTTTTTAGACGGAGACATGTTATGATACAACTGAGCATCAAAGAAGATTACACAAGGATTTTCTCAAAGAAATTCATCACAATCGAGGACAATCATATGAAATTGCTCAAATGGACCCCTAATTTTGATCGCAGTCAACAACCCCCAATTGCGCCTATCTGGTTCTCATTAACTGAATTCAAGCTTCAATTCTTTGGCCTACCTATCTTATATACAATCACCCCCTTTATGTATCTTTTCTATTTCAATAAAATCAGCTTTTGGGCTTTTCAATATATATATACATAATTAAAAATGACTGGAGGCTATTATATGAGCCCCGACCATCCCGCATGCGCCTAAGAATTTGAATACCACACCCTCTACACTCGAGAAGAAATCTAACCCCAGACCAGAGGGAACTTACAACTGATAAACAGACGCCCGACAACCTGATATGAATACACGGTGCATATATATATATATATATATATATATATAATTAATAGTATTTAGAGTAAAAAAGAGCAATGGAAATTATCAGAAAGAGTCTTAATGATCTCAAACTAGTATGCAAGTAGAAAGTGAGACTCTTTATAAGAGACATGTACTGATTTAGTTAACCGTGACTCAAGACTACGCTCAGATTTTTTTTAAAAAATATTTTAATATTGTTGAAAAGTCAATGAAGTTACTCAAGTGATCTTCTGATTTTGACCCAAACAATGAATCTCCCAATGTACTAGTATGATTTAGTTAATCTAGTCTCAAGCTGCATTCTTTTAATCATCAGGTTCTCTACTCTATTGAGGTCATACTTGGGGATCCTATGAAGCAAGATCTACCCATCTTCAATCTAACCAGGTCTTCTGTGCCCAGAATACTTGTAGAAATGGATATTATTTTACCTGATAGTACTGAACTCTGGCTGGGCACAATTCATAATGGATATTGGCAACAAATTATCATGAAACATAAACTTTTTTTTTGTACCCACTATAAGATGTTTGAGTTTACCCTTGATAAATGTCATAGACTCCATCCTAATTTGAAATCTAAAGCTCAAGAGAATAATGACAGGTCTAACCCCACTGCTCTGAACACATCTGTTTCACCTGTGGAGGAAATTACCACAAGACAAGAATTGATGTCTAATTTAATTGCCCTTGTGGACACCCCCGGACAATAATGTTTCTGTTTCTGCGATTGATGTGATGTCGGATGGCTCTGGCGGGCAACCTACACCTTCAAACCTTATTGAAAACAATATTGAAGAATCCTTACCTACAAAGAATAGTGTTCGGATCGATAATCAGGAGAGCCTTGTAGCTCCTCATCTTCAGGAAGTATCTAGTGCAAAGACCACAACTGACACTTCACATACACTAGAACCTATTGCGGTTATAACGGTTGGCAATCTTTCTACTACGGTTCTACCACCTCATCCGAATAAGCAAGTCGTTACTATTAGTCAGGCGCAAAGGACTAATCAACTGATACATGGCCGACAATCTGTTGACCAACACACTGATCAGATGAGTCAATCTTCGGATAAAAAATGACAGATTTACACATCTAAGAGAAAGAAGAAGAATGAAAACTTACTTGAGCTCAGAAATCTAATGGATGATACTTTGATTACTTTAGGTAATGGTATGCACCTAACCAATTTGTTAGCTGACTCCCTTACGAGAACTAGAGGTAGAGGCAGGACTAAACTGGGTCGTCCCTAACTTTTGCGCGTTTTGATGGTTTTGGTTTTTTTATTCTTACATGTATCTTTTTTTTTTTTTGTGGAATTGTGTGTTGTACTGTGTGGGTTGGGTGTCTTCTTTTGGACCCACTCATACAACCTATTTGTATCTATTTATTGAAATAGAAAAGATACCTAAAGGTTGTATGAGAGAGCCCAATAGAGACACCCTACCCATACGAAACCAAGTATAGTACTACCCCAACAAAAAGATACAGATAAACTCAAAAAAATTAAAACATGCAGAAAACAAGTAGTTAGGGACGAGCCAGTTTAGTTATATCTCTTCCTCTAGTTTTAGGTGAGAAGTCAGATAACAAACTTTGAAGTATCGTGTCATTATCAGAAATAACCAAAGTATCATCCATTAAGTTTCCAAGTTAGGGTGTGCCTCCAACCTTCTTCTTTCACCGAGAAGTGTAAAGCTGTCATTCTTCATCTGAAGACTTACTAATGTGATCCTCGATCTGATTAGATATTAGAACCACAGTAGAAGGAAAGACAGTGCTTGCCACAATGATAGGTTAAAGTGTATGTGAAGTGTGAATTGACACCTCTGCACCTGATGCTTTCTGAAAAGGAGCTGCGGAGCTATCCTGACTTTCGGTCTGAACATTATCCCTTATAGTATGATCAGGAGAAGGGTTCCCAGGGGCAGACACCATTTCCTGTCTTGTAGTGATTCCCTCCTCAGGTTGGCTGTTATCAGGTTTGCTGGGAGCGCGTTCAGACACGTGGGGTGCACTAACAATATGTTCTTGCTTTTGACTATTGGTTCTCAACTGTAGCTGCAATATGAAACATTTCTCTTGCGTGTGTCCAAACATTTTGCAGCGTTTGCTGTAGTAAGGTTTTGTTTCATAATGATATTTTATCAATAATCATTGTAAGCAGAGCCAAACCAGACTTCTACATCTGGTAGTGTAATATCAATTTCAATCAAAATCCTTGCAATAGAGGGTCTTGAGAAATGAACTGTAGATGTGTCTACCTGCAAAGACTTTCCAAGGATAGTTTCAATTATATATAAGATAGGTAGGTAAAGAATTGAAACTTGAGTTCAGATAATAAGAACCAGATAGGCGCAATTGGGGTTCTTGACTAAGATCAAAATCAGGGGTCCATTTGAACAATTTCATATGATTGTCTTTAATTGTGATCAATTTCTTTAAGAAAATTCTTATGTAATATTCTTCTATGCTCAGCTGTATCATAACATGTCTTATGTTGAAAAGACCCACCCGTCAGGCCCCAACTAGTTTGAAATCTTCAAAAACCTTTTCGATAATCTCCATCTTAGGGCAACCTAATTGAAACTTTCCAACTAGTAAAAATTTATATTTTTCTGCACGATTTGAAATTTCAGCATCAGAGAAGAAAAGTGTTGGTTTGTCAGCCTTTTTCTCAACTTTTTTTATGAGATTGCAATCTCAATGTCCTGCAACAGAATCATGGTACAACTGCGGGAACATCAGATTATCCGCAAGGTAGAAATGGGAGCTGCGTTTATGAACCACTGTAGAATCAGAGGGTTTGGCGGGATTATCACCGACGAGGGCGGCGGCATAGGAAAGCCCTGAGGCTATTAGCGTGCTTCACACAAGCACTGCAGGATGGCGCAGCTTATCGATAGCCGCCAATGAATGGGATGTGAGACGAAGAACACGTGATAATGTCGTCCAACTTCGAGCACGACGAATGGGACGCGAGATGAAGCATGCGTGAAAATGTCGTCCGTCTTTGAGCACGACAAACAGGACGCGAGACGAAGCAGATGTGAAATTGTCGTTCGTCTTCGAGCAACAAGACGAGATGAAGCAGACAACGAATCACTGCGACCAGACGCTCGCTGTGATAGAAAAATAAACCGCTGCGACCAGACGAAGTAGACGACGAAAGCATAGCAGACGTTAGGGTTTGCCATGCCCTAGCAGAGCGGAAACGACCGCTCCCTGTCATCTCCATAGTCGACGAGGATTGCTCCTGCCATCGTTGTCTGATTCCATTGACGATGGAGCTATTTCCCGCAGTCGTCTCCCATAGCCGATGACCTTTCTTCTTGCGGTTGTCTCCTCGCTCGCTCCAAACAAAGCGAGCCCGACATACAACGCCCAAGTCTACTCGTTTCCTTGCGGCCTGCCACACAATTTCTTTTCTGACCGTGACCATCTTGTGAGGAAGATGGTCTCAACGCTTCATTCCTATGCAAATGCCCTTGCTGACGACTTACCCCTTCCTGTTCGTGCCTCTATTTCAGTTTTAGAGTCTGATTTTGGTATTGATAAGTCCTGCAATGTTACACAATCTTTCCACGAGGCTCTTGAAGGTGGCAGTGATAACATTTTTATTAAAAAACTTATTAAAAAAAATTGGGAAACCTGCTCTTATTCTCACTGAAATTGAAACCAGTACTCTCGCGTCCTCTTGGTGTTTTGCTCTAGTGGGGAAATTCCTTTATGGTCAACCAAAACTAGAGATCATTCATAAAGAGTTTGATGCTATGAAACTATTGGACAGTTGGAACATTGGCCTACTTGACAGTCGCATATATTTATTCAGTTATCTCATAATGTCAATCACACTGACATTCTCTCAAAAAGTTAACAAGATCTACAATGGTTTTACGAAAATTCCGAAGTGGACTGTCGATTTTGATCCAAAAGCGAAGTACCCTATCATTCCTGTTTGGAAAAGTTTTCGGGGATAAAATTACATCTGTTCAACATGGAAATTCTCTACTATTTAGCAACTGCTTACGGTAAGCCTCTCAAGGTGGATAGTTCTACGTTTGCCGTCACTAGACCTCATGTGGCTTGTGTATTAGTTGAGAGAGATATCACTCAACCAACTCCGAATGAGATATGGATTGACATTATTTGTAACGGATATTGACAAAATGTTGAAATAGAATCACACCCTCCTTATTGCTCTCATTGTAGGATGTTTGGCCACAAATCTAATATTTGCTATTGTTTGCATCCTCATCTAAGGTTAAACATCGCTAAAGGTCAGCCACCTACCATCCTTATTGAGAAAGTACAATCCGATCCTTTTTCCAACATCGCAGTTCCAGATAAAGAGCACCATACTATAGGTACAGATCCAAATGTGCCGATACCACTTACTGCTATTGAAGAAAGCTCACTTACATGCCAAGACACACGAGAGTGCTCCTTCAATCCGATAAAAGACTAGCTATTACAACAATTAGTTGCTTCTAATGTTCAACAACCCACACATATCCTACACACTTCAGACCATTTCGCTGATCAGGTGAGTCAATCTTCGGATGAGGGGTGAGTCAGAGTCAATCTTCGGATGAGGAATGACAGGTCTACACGAGAAGGAAGAAGAACGGAGAATGACTCGAGCTAGGGAATCTATTGAATGATACATTGATTACTACTGACAATGGCAACTCATCTGACCAATTTATTAGTTGGTTCCTTCGCCGGAACTAGAGGCAGATGCAAGACAAAATTGGGTCGCTCTCCAGCTACCTGATACTCCTATTTTGACACTTTTTGGTTTTTATTTAGATCTCTTATATATTTTGCAGTATTTTTTTTTGAACCATTTGATATGGTGGTTTTTATGTGGGCAGAGTGTCATGTTAAGGATCTCCCACAAAATCTATCTGTATCCTACTTTTTATTTAATATAATAGCCTTTAATAAGAAAAAAACTTTCTTTTCAAATATATATATTATTTTATTTATAAGCATATTATATACATAAGAGGTTGTTAGGCTCTAGTTCAATTGAAGAGAAGACAACCTTATTCCCCCTATTTTCCATTTATTTGGATTTTCGAGCAACCAAAATGCAAATCTTAACTATTCATTCTCATTTATAATCTATTCACGTTAGTTAGAGACCAAATTTCAATGTTTCAGTTCTTCCAAGGAACTACCAATGAAAAAACAAAATAATTTTACACAGTGTTCCATACTTCACATACCAAAAATAAATTGACAATAAATGAGCCGCCATCTAGAACCTCAAGAAGGCTATTCCAAAAAATGTAAACCAGGATCAATCTTCTTAGCATTCAATTCAAAGTTATTTTGAATACGAGCAATCAAAAGAAATCTGGAGTTTCCCAATTTAACCTAAAATATTATCTCTTATCTATTAGATTTTTAAGATAAATGCCTAATTGTTAATATTTATGAACTAAATCTTTTGAATTTTTTTAGGGTTTAGTGAGATATCAGAGAAAAAAAATAATTAAAGAAACACAACAAATAATACTGACAGCCTAAATGGTTTGAATGATATTAAAATATCAATCACTGAACTTAATTAAAATATAATGATAACATGAATCTTTTTCTCCATTTTGTCCTATTGAGTGTCAAATTTCTTACATCATGCCCAAGTCCTTGTAGGTTTACCTCCACTTTTCTTAACATAAGCCAAATCTAAAACATCAACTCTCCTAACTAGGTTATCAAATGATCTATGTTTAGTGTGACCAAACCATCTAAGGCGACTCTCTCTGATCTTGTCTACAGCTTGAGCTACTCCAACCCTTCACGTATATATTCCTTTAGCATTTTTGTCTCTAAGTGTAAAGCCACTCATCCACCGAAGCATTTTAGTCTCAACAACACTTAATTTTATGTTTCTCTTTTATGAGACAACATTATGCGTCATGAAGCAATGTAGGCCTCAACACCATCTTATAAAATCTTCCTTTAATTCTAAGTAATACTTTTATATCACACAATAGACTTGATGCATTCCTCCACTTCAACCATCCAACTTGAACTCTACTAATAAGATCCACATCTATATCACCATCACTTTGAACAATAGACTCGAGATATATAAAACATTCACTCCTTTTAAAGACTAGATCACCTATAAAATTTTAAAGAATTAGCGTAACTTATTGTAACAAGAAATGAGATTATATCTCAGAACCCAAGTTTAGCATTGGTGGACCTCATAATCATGCTTTATTGAAGATCAAATGATTGCAAAATAGATTAAATAATTGAACTAAATTAGTTTTAGTCAAAGCAATGAAAAAAGAAACAATCCAGATCAATGGCGCAAAGATGAGAATGTGAAAAGAAAAAAATAAATAAAATGGATTATGGGGGACCTAACCATAATCTCATATTTAGCAAAAGGGATGTATGTGCCAAAAAAAGAACTAGCAAAGCATGGAATGGCTACATTCACAAGCAAAGAAAAGAGAAAAAAAAATAAAGAGCATTAAAAATGTCATATTAAGCTTAATGAGACCTTGTGTAAATGGGTTGATCATAAGATTGACAGAAAGTAGTATGGCCTTGCTGTAGCTGTTCAGTAAGATCAATGAGATTTTGCTTCAAATTATTTATATCTCTTACTGAAAGTGCAATGTCTTCCAGATCGGACATAATCTATAAAAAGACAACCCATAGAATTTGCATAAAAAATTGTTCAGTCAAAGGAAAAAACGTACGGCATAGATAAACACGAGGAAGTAAATGCTCTCTAAAATATAACCTTACTATCTGAACAAGTTGAGAGAGATAATTGATTGGGTTGTATGCTCATCAAATCAGACTCTAAGAGTGGTTTTAAATCTCTCTCTTTCTGCAATAGCTCTTTCAACCTTACCACCTGCAGAAATAGCCAAATTAGATTAAAAATTATATTATAGAAGTCAATAATCCAAAAGGCCTCTTACAATCTATAAACAAATTTTCATGCATTAAGTAGCATTGATCAGACAATACATTAGGAAAACAATCATCAACAATTAGCATATTCAACTATTTGAAGAATCAGGCCTATAAACGTCATTTCAGCAACTAAGTATAACAAGGGAAGAAATGCACAAAAGAAGCTCCAATACCATGCCAATTGATGAAAGAAAATCAAATACTAAAAACATGACATTAAACAAACTTCTTTTAACAAAGAATGAGATGAAAGTAAAATGAATTATTCATTAAAATGAAGACTAACATGGTCGAAAGCTTTTTATTGACACAGTGATAAGATTTTCAAACGTTAGGATAATAGTCATCATCAATGATGTGAACAACTAAGTAGTGAACTTTGCACCTGTGCGCCTAGGCACCTGGACCTTTGATTATAAAACCTTAGTTGCACCTTTTTTGAATACTTTCAGCATTTAGAGTAGTTAGTTGCAACAAGTAGCCCCACATCATTTGAGTATGAAATTAGGCGGCAGCTTAACTTCCTATATGGTTTCAAATGTAGAAAATAGCAAGGATTCTCAAGAGGGCAAGACAACAATTGTCATGCTTTTCCATGTCTATGGTGAACGATTATGCTATGGATTTATATTAGACAATGGTTGACAAGAGGTCATGAATGCTTCAAATTTGTTGCAAACTTGGGGGGTGTTTGGTACGATAATTTTAACAGGATTTAAGTCCTAACTTAAATAAAGACAAACACCATAAATAGGTTTGATAAATTCGCCTTTAAGTTAAATCCAAATTTTGCTTGTTTCGTTTATTAAATCCAGATTTACTAAATTCATTTATTAGTTGGATTTAATAAATTTAGCACAGGAAAAAAATATTTCAAATAAATTCATGCCAAACACCTCAAATGGATTTAACTGAATTTAACCCTAATTGAATCAAACATTATTTCAGATTCAGTGATAGTTAGATTTAGTAAATCCAGATTTACAGAATTTAATAAATCTTGCTTAACTTAAATCCTCCTTGCAGCCAAACACCCCCTTAGATTTGAGGTCAAGCTCTTTAGCTATAAATGTAAAACTCAATTTTTTTAAGGTTGTGAGGCTAGCATTTCACTTATAGAGGAGGAGTGAGCTATCCGTGCCTTTAAGAGGAAACGAGAGAGAGAGCGACAAGGAGATTGAACAAGCATCCTTACTCTCAATATCGAGCGAAGTCGAATAGAACGCAATCGATTCAACGTCAAACAGAGAAAAGGAGACAAAGCAATTGGCATCGTGAGACGAGCCGAATCAAGCAAGCAAACGCAACGAAGGGCTTATGTTCGAGTACCGGCGTCAGCAAACTGAGGCATGGGGAGGAGAAAGCAACAGTTAGGCATTGCAGCAACGAGAGCAAGCATGAAAGAGACGAAATGAGCGTTACATCGAGTTTTACCTTTCGTGAGCTCGAGCAATGAACGCGAAGCAAGAAGGCGATGTCAACGAGAGGCCGACGAGATGTGGTCTTGTGCAAGAGAAATTATTACATACGGAGCACGTACGCAGCAATGCGTGCGTACTCCAGTAATATATTGCCATGTGTGCTTTATCGGCCCACCTCCTGTGGAGATTATTAAAGTGAAACCGCGGAGGTTACTGGAGGGTAATTGAGGATTATTGGGGGTTATTGAAGTATTAAATCTAATAGCGCCGTAATAATCTCTCAATAACCTCCGTTGTTACACTCTCAATAACCTCCCAATAAACCTCTTCGGTCCCACTCCGCAATAACCTCATAATAACATCCCAATAACTCTCCAATAATCTCCGCCTCCTGCATAATCTCATAATAACACCGCAATAACCCTTCAATAATTTTCGCAGTCTCACCTCAATAACTTATAAATAATCTTCACGTGGCGGCATATGACTGGAAGTCCGCACGCAGAGTTGCGTAAGTGCTCTGTATGGAGCGGGAACCAAAGCCGTGTTTCAGCTGATCTTTGAGCTAAGGTATTTTCGGTTCTCTTGCATACAAAGTAAGAAGGAACAAGAAATTGTGCAGGAGAGCGAGCTTGTACTGATTGCGAGTCGAGCCGAGCCGAGCCGAGCGAAGCCGAAGGAAGATATCAATATATTGTTTGACCAGAATGAAATTTTCCTTAAAATTTTAACAGTTATTTACGAGATAATTAGTCTTTAAAAGTTTTAGTTATTTAATATTAGTAATAATAATTGAGGATAGAGGAGAGATAAGTAAAATGTCAATTGATGGTTTGAAGTAAATTGATAAATTAATTGGGGTTTAGAAAATAAAACTTAAATTATTAGGATAAGATAGTTTAGAGAAATACATTTTCTAAAAATTACAGGTTGAATTGAAATTAATAAATAAGTAAAGGATAATTAAAAAATTACACAAACATAAGCAAACTATGACACTCACTAATAATAATTAGAAATGTTTAAATTACGGTAATATCTTTATTATATGTAAGAATATATTATTTAAATAGTTAATTAAGGGTTTTTTTTGGGTAGTTGTTAATTATTTATAATTTTCTGATAAGCAAATTATTCTGATAATCTGATAATCTGCAGATTATCAGAACAAGTTGACATGCTGTTTGCGGCAGCTTATTCAGAACAACTTGCTGACAGCTGCTGTTGGATAAATGATCATTCTGCCCCTGTCTGGTTAAGTTGTTTGTAACAGAACTGTATGAACACAAAAATAGATAAAACAAAACCCGCAAATCATTATAGATCAGTTCATAGAGTGCATACAAAAAAAATAGATAACACAGAAATAGATACAAAAAAAGTAACCAATTGTCAGATCCAGAAATTAAAAAAAAACCAAAAGAAAATGCATACGAAAATAAACCTATAGTCTAATAAATAAATAAAACTTGGTATATCAAAGAGCAAAAAATTTCACTTTATGCATTACCTATACAAGTATATCAAAGAGCTAAAAATTTGATTCAGATATGTAATTATTCAAAGAATTGAAGTGTTACTTAGGAATTAAAGAGATCCGTAACTTCGCTTTTCAAATTCAAGTGTTAGATATGTAAATACTCAAATAATTGAAGTGTTGTGCATGAAAATACTTATGAAAAAACAAAAAACAAAATTGATCCCAAACAAGCCTTTAATTTATGACGATCAATTGACTTAAAATGTGAAATGCCTGTCTATATTATTATTTGCATGCTTTGTAGTTTCATTCTTATGAAGGAATGTATTTTAGTAGTTTGAATAAGGAAATAGTTTGTCAAAATGAATCCATATTTATAAGGGAAACTGGACAACCCATAGCAAAGATGACAAAGATGGCAAAGATGAGCTCATGCTATTGGATATATCAAACAGAAGGGCTTGTGTATCATTCACTAACACCTCACTATGCCATCAGTAATTATGTTTTGAAGGGAAAGTGGACAGCCCATAGTAACAACTTTCAGTTTCAATGCAACTACATATCTACTCTCAGTATCAATGCATTTACATATCTACACCTAAACTTTATAACACCCAAGACTTTCATATCACATAACCAAAAGAAAGAGTCATCATCAATAAAAATCTTCAGGACAAAGAGTTTAAGCTCCAAAACAAGATGCAATCCCTAGCCAGGCAAAAAAATTTTAGAACCCTTTTAGGCGGAAATGGAACAAATAACCATAACCCAAAAATAAAAAGAACTTCCTAGCATGAAAAGTTCTTCCTCGGCATATGGAGAAAAGAAGAAATGAAAAACCGTTAAAAAATGCGAATCCAGAATATCAAAAATGCTTACAGTGGACGGGGCGAGGAAGGTGTTGAGAAGACAAGGGCTGAAGGAGAGCTTCGATCCTCTTCTCCCTGGAGCCTTTGCGGTTCGAGTGTGAGAGAGCTTCGAACGAAAGGCTGGCCCTTCGAGCTGCAATACTCTTCAGATCCCGCAGAGCTTCGCACGAAACAACGAAGCGAAATGGCATAGGGGATCGGGATCGGGACGGAATCGCTGATCGATGGTTTTTGTTTCGCGAGAGAAGGACAGAGGGGACGCAGACAGAATCAAGATCGAGGGCTTCCGGGTAATAATCTCGGACGGGAAGCGAAAAGCGGGATGCGAAGTGTGGCCCCGAATAACGAAGGATCCGCGTTCGGCGATTTCCTATCGTGATCCGAACGCGCGAAACAAACCCTCAGTCGACGTTTTTAAAACGCTGACCGCAGTAATAAGCTGCCCGAAACGAGCCCTAAATTAAGCGCAAAAATTATTATTAAATGGTGATTAAATTATAATTTAAAGTAAATTAACAATAAAATTATACACTCGGATTATAAGTATTTTTATTAAAAATTTGGTGATATAACATAAAAGACAAATGAATCATCTAAAGTCGAGATGAGTATTATATTTCTAAATTGCGGTAATATTTTTATTCCTAATTATATTCCTAACTATACCAGTGGCACATAAACCACAATTGCGTTATCAAGTTGTTTAACATGATATATGTATGCTGACATTTCTATATAAATAGTTGCACAACACTTTTTCTATAATAGCATTAGATTATCACATAACTTTTAGAACCCGATAAAATATCATTTATTCATTGATAATTAAAAATAAAATCTCTAATAATAAAATAATATATGTTATGAAAAATGAAATACAAATATAACACATATGAATTATTTGTGTTTGATGATAGGGGATGATGCAGAGCTCTTAGAAGCGGGAAAAGGCAAATATGGGCTCTCAGATGTGTAACTCCAAGAGGGAGTTGAGCCATGCGGTTTAGTAGAGAGTCGGTCCAGCAAGGAGGCTGAACCCGCTGCCCAATCTATCGAGCGGGATTCCCCACTTCTGTTCTCCTTTTCCTATTCTAATTCTAGCTTCTTGGTTACCACCAGCCCCTCCCTGCCTTTTCTATTTGTCTCCTAAAGGGGAAGTTGTCCCTTCCTATTCTAGCTTATATATGTGTTGTTTTGCTTGTTTAGGGTTAGTTTTTTTTATTATTCTAGATTTGAGTTTGCTGCTTTGAGGTGTTTCTCCCTTCCGAGTGTTGTATCCGACGACAAAAAGATACTTCGGCTATAACTTGTCCAAGGTGGTGACCATCTCAAAGAGTCTGAGTGACGCTCCGACCGTGGCTCAACCTAGCCGAGATATTTATCCTTCCAACTCCCGTGCGCAACCTCCTGGCCCATGTTCCAGTAACAGCATAGGCCTTCTAGCCACCTACTTGTCCTTGCTTCCAACCGCCAACTAGCCAACCTTCGCAGCTACTGTCCAGGCCACCTGCCAAATTCAAGCAGCCACAAGTCACCTCCGTAGCCCCCTCCAGCCAACACATAGGCCTCCAAAGCCTTCCCAGCTGCCATCCTAGCCTCCTGCCACCTTCCAGGAGCCGCAAGTCATCTTCCAGTCACCGCCCAGGCCTTCAGATGCTTCCTTGTTGTCGTCCAACTCTGCAAGCACCTTCCAACTATTATCTGGTCCACCGCCTCACCCCCTGCCTTTCTGGATCGGTCGCTCTCTTCCAAGTGGGTCATTTATGTGTTTTGAGTTGTTTTTATTCTTATTTTGTGTAGTTATCACTGTGACTTCACCGTTTGTGTTTGTGTTGTCGAAGAGTCATCGTATTTTTTGAATTTAGCAATAAAGATGTTCGTTCTTTCGTGGTTTGGGTTAACTCCAGTATCATTTGGTATCAAAGATTTCCCTAACCATAGTCTCATCCTAGGTTTTCCTAGCACTCACCCCTTCCCAAGCCATCTCCACCAAAAAAAAATTCATTCCTACCACCCACCAAACCAGAATCAAATTTTGACCTAAACCTAATTTCCCATTGCTAATTTTAACCCCATATAAAATTTTCTAAACATTCAATTAGTCTCATGCTCCCTCTTTCACCTCTCAATCCTAAATCCTAACCATGCCGCCAAGAAGATACATGTACGAGCCTACCCAAGATGAAACCCAGGGAATTTTACCCTCAACCGTGATCTGGAGAGTTGAAAGGGAGAACGGGAGTATCTGAAGATGAAGCGGGAGATGCAGTGTCAGTTCCTACCAGTTTACTATAGATAGAATGAAAGATCCTAGCTTCTGAAATGGAGAGACCTCATCACCGAGTAACCACCACAACCGTCAGAATACACCTAGGAGAACACCCAAGACAACTCCACCGGAGGAAAAGCAGATTCAGAGTGAAGAACAGGTAAACCAATATGCATCTCTAAATCTGCCACAGCTATGAAATGTGCGAGTATCACGGATTTGGGCACGTTGAATCAGACTGCACAACCAAAGGGTGATTTGTTTCACTGATCAGGGTGTTATTTAAAAATTAGGCAATGACAGTTGATCCGAAAGAATATGAAGACTTTAGAGAAGATACTCAACTTACAGCCAACGAGAAAGAGTTTTATCAATTCCAGTTTATCCTAGAAGAGATATTGTAGTTGAGGTAGCAATAGTTGTTCTAGATGGTAGTGACTTTGATATAATGGGCGTTCATGCAGAGTATGAGATTGTGGTGCCTCGAACTGCCGTTTTGCAAACGTTGAGAGAAATATTAGCAGGACTGACCTTGGATTTCCAAAAGGATCATGAGTTTGAGGAGCCGGCATCAAACATAGGGCCACCAAAGATAAGAGAAATGTAGATTTTTTAGATTTATGGACCTCTTCCCGAGTTATCCCTATGAAGGGAGGTCCACAATGTAAAAGATGGGGTCATTTAGTGCCATGTCTAGAATATTATGTGGAGTTATTTAAATGTTAGATTTTGTTCAACAAGGTACCTATAAGTAGTTGTCTAGACCGGAGGGATGAATCCTAGCCTCAAAATTCATCTTGGAAGGTGTTTAATGGAGAAGAAAATTCTTCAATGGGATCCAAGTCCTATTAGAAAATAAGTCTCCCTTGAGTGTTTGTTAGTGAGAGTGGCGTAGCCTGGCTCAGTATTCATCCCAAAGTTAAATCCTCCTTACATACTTCTTTACCAGATACATCCAATCAAGTACATGGAAGGGAAGAGGCAAATTACGGAACTAGTGGCTCGAGAGCTACTTTGGGAGAATCTATGATTATATGCAGCCACAGCTCAGGTTGTGCCAAAAGCAGATGAGTTTTTATTCCAACAAAATGTGTTTTGAAATAACAATGCCGACATGGGGCCATACCGGGACATTACAATAGCTCCACTACTTTCAACGTGACCGATATGAAAAAACAAAACTTCAACAAATAAGGTGGGAGTCCTCCGCCAACTTTAGAATGGTGAAATGCATCTAATAACAAGCAACAATTGTTTGGCTTTCTAGAAATGACACTAATAGTAGCTGCATGCTTGTTGCATGAGCAATGAATTGAGTCAACACAATTTTTTTTTCATTATTAGTTGAGAATTTTCTAGTTAAATCAAACTACATTAAAGGCAAACATTAAGCAGCTATATCATTATAGCCGAATTTTTATTCATTCGATACCTTATGATGGATTATATTATAAGGGTGTCATGATAACTACAAATTATAGATAATATCATTCCATACGTTGAAGCACCTGATGAAAGAAATGCAAAAATTCATGCAGAAGAGGGGTAAAAAAAACAAATAAAAAAGATGATTTTAATCTAAGTTACTCAATTTCAATAAATGCCAGAAATAAAATTAATATCAAGCATGGAAGTTTTCTATGTTTAGGTAATATAAGCCTATATACTAAAAAAGAAAAAAAATACAGAAAATATGAGAGATGGGATTAAATTCCAAAGTTCAAAACAGGGAACAGCCTCTAGTGTACTATGTTTTGCGAGTTTATGGCAAACTTCTTGATAAGGCCATTAATCTTTTAGAACATTATATTAAACAGAAAAAAGGGGAAAAGCCAAACTTTAGCAAAATAAAAAAAGATACATCTGTTGCAATGTAAAGGTAATAAGGTGAAGAAGGGGTAACATTTAATTGGAACCAAGAAATGGAAAATACGTTGACATGATTTGCATATGCAACAGCATAAGTAGAAAAGTCGTTCTGAAATGAGTGTGAGTACCTAAAAAATAAAATAGGAAAGCAAATTGGTTATTCGAAAAAGAAATGTACAATATTATCTGTAATACAAGATATATAAGTTGATGAAATTGCATTATAGACCAGTGTGAAAATATTAATTGAAGTTGAAGGGTTGGTCCAAAACATTTCTTTACATTTCTTCCTCTGAAGGAGAAGTTCAACAAAAATATCACATAAACAAAACTTACTTCTGTCTCAAGAGCCAAACGGCGTTCAAGCAAAGCTTGCTTTCGCTCATCCAAACTTAACTGTAAAACTGCATTCCCTTTTATCTGATTAACATGAACATGTTAATACAATATCCACTGAAAAATGCAATTTCTTTGAAATAGAACAGTTGGATGCAACTAGAATACAACAACCTCTTCTGAAAGTTTAATTTGAAGACCAATCTTGGTAGTCTCAAGCCTCTGAACTGCAGACCTGGTAATAGAAGGGGGGAAGCAAAGGCAAAACCAATAATTATGATAAAGTTAGGCATTGCAAAACCTTTTCTGATTTTCATAATACAGCAAATTTCACAAAATTCCAAAACATCTGTGCAACAAAGCTTCTAAAAAGTCAATTCAAGCACACCAACATCTCATGCATAGTCTGGACAATGGCCAAAGAATGAAATAGAATAGCAGAATAGATTTCAGAATTAAAAAAAATTAAATTCCAAAAAACCATACAGTATAAATGCGAACTCTCAAATTCAAACAATCTTGAGCTTCTTTTAGCATAGCATATTATAACAAACATGGAAAAAAAAGGAAATGAGGAAATGCAATCAGGAGGGATGGATGTCTTACTCATCATCACTGATGTATTCAATTGACTCCACTGAAAGATTTTTCCTTGCCTGGAAGCCAAAATAATATGAGGTTTAATTCAAAAGATTAAGAAGATAAAAGCAATGATAGTAATACTCACAGAGGTACGCCCCCATTTATTTCGCACCGCAGGTTGTGCTTCTTTTGATTGTTCTGCTAAATTTACGATGCTGGAGGCAGAGGTTTTGATATTAACTAACTTATTCCTTATAGTTGTAGATGATAGTATACCAACCGCGGGCACATGAGACTCATGATAAAGTGGAATGGTTGAGCTATTATTTTCACTTAGCAAGTCATCATTATTCTGTATGTCAGCAGTGTCAAAAGATCGAACATCTGTTGCGAATCGGACATGAGCAAATGTTGATGTTTTAGGATAAATATCTTCATGCAAAAATGCGGAGACTTGATTTGAATTTATCGTGGTGTTTTCAAAGACCTCATTGTTTCTAGAAAATATAGCACGAGCACAATTCTCTTTAATGTCCTACATAACAAATGTAATCCTCTTAGCTCTAAAAGCAAGTTACCTAAAATGTAGTTGAAAATATATTTAAGCGAGTTAAAAAAAAATCATAAATAATCAATAGCAAAAGATAAAACAAAGAGATAATTGCAGAGTCATTTTAGTTCTTTAAGGTTCAATTGTAAGAACATACATTGTTTATTTATCCCCCCATGATGAGGTTTAACCGAGTATTTATAGTGGCTATAGAACAAGCACTGCTCTTGCGACTTCTATTTCACAAATAGCACATGTTTAATTGAGAAAGATTCGTAACCAGTTGAACAATGATAACTTGAGAAAACAAATTGTTTTTATGAAGAATTCAAGCATAAAAAAACGTATTCTGAAAGAATAACTAGTTTATATTAATCATTGTATAAACATGTAAATATAGATTCCCTCTATGTTTTACAAGATTTTCCAAAAACCAAAAACAATACGATGATTTTTCTATAGGTTTGGATCACCATAATCAACCTTTCATCTTTTCAAGGCAAACACGAGTGTATTTCTCTGACAAAAGTATCACCAAGGTAGCTTGTTAGCCTTATCTATTATTAGCAAATTTCCATTGAACTGTCCAAATGCTGATGTCTTTTGCAAATTCCTGTTGGACCTTTAATGTTCAATCAAGCTTATTGATCCTTGTCACATATTAGAAAGCCATCTTCACATGCATATAACACCAGGCTTGGACACACTATAGTGGGTTTTCGATGTGCTTGCTTAAAAGGTCTTCCTAATTCACTACTTCTATGGAACCATCCATCACTGTTGTTTAGACAGCATTGCCTCACCTTTAACTACAACATTTCAACCCATCCATTTTACCATCCTCGATTCCCATCTTTGGGAAACGCTTACAATTGGATCATACTACTGCTCAACTATTGAGGCCTTCTATTGCCAGAGACTTGGTCGAATGAATGCTACTTTGCTGTTGGAAAATGAGGTATGAATTGGCTCAAAATTTTATGGTTATTGGCAGAATGTTGTCTTTGAAGGCACAATTTCTCTAACTGTTTCGGGCTCATCTAAATATAAGAAAATAAAAAACATAGGTATCAAATAAATATTTAAATCCCCAGACCACTCACAATCCCACAATAGTTTATGCTGCTCCGCTCCCACAACCCCACTTTATGTTTGCTCTCAGAATTTGAAATCATTTGATTTCCTCAGAATCCCGAGCCCGTTGTGCTTGACTTGCTAGTCTTATGCATATAGCTTCTACATGTTCTATGATGAAATATTTGACTGTGATGTCTATTCCCCTTCACTCTTATTACTAAGGACACAGATCATCACGATGTCCAACAATCAGAATATTTTGATATGTATGAGTGATGACTTTAAGCGAAAAAGAGTTTCAAATATTTTTTCACCAAATGGGGATGTGATTGAAGCAAATATTCTCCAGATTTCACTAGGCATCAAGCAAAGCTAGCCAACAGAGCACCTTTACACTATTGGATCTTTCTTTTGCTTCATGCTACGTGTATTTAATTTTTTATATTTTCCCATATACTACAGTAATTCTAGTTAATTCCCCTAATTTTACCCATACCATTTTGATATTGTAATATTAAGCATTATATAAAAAAAAGAATCTCCACAATACAGCAATAATAAATTAGCTGCAAGAAAACCTAATCAGGAAACTACAGCTACAAAGGCCGTAAAAAACTCTCTTCAAAACATGAATGTAAGAAAAAGCATGAAATTAGAACATAAGAATAATATAATGAAAAGAGAATAGTGGCAAAATAGTCCCCTGGCAGTGTCTAAAATGTCAATTTAGTCCTCAGATTTTTTTTTAATATGGGCTGAAACAATCTCCACGAAAAACTATTTCAACACTAATTTGACATTTTTATAAACTCTAGGACTAATTTGGCACTTTTATAAACTCTGGGATTAAAATGGCTCCGTGTAAACAGTCAAGGGACTATTTTGACACTTGTAATGAAAAGAAAGAGAAGTTTAATGACCAAGTTCATTATGAATCTAAAAGAATTTCTAAGAGCATTTGATTATTTAAAAGATTTGTTAAACAATATTTTTCATAATCATATTTTATTATAAAACCTGGTTTCTTGAAAAATTGCTCCCTATATCACTGCCAGCATCACCCCTGACAACACTTCCACCCTTATTGTAAACATTACAACTAGCATTGCTTCTGACATTATTGCCAAAATCATAGCATTTGTCACTGCCAGCATCATTGCCTATGTCACTGTCAACATCACTACCAACTTCACAGCCAACATCACTAACCAAATCACTGCCATCTTTACCACCAGCATCATTGTTACTTCCACTGGGGGTTTCACTGTAAGAACAATCTATATCAACCCCAGCAACAGCATTTTGGTCATTCTCAGCTTCAAGATGCCAATCCTCGTTGGAGATGTCATTAGAGGTCGATTCATCATCCTCAATATCTTCATCTTCTGACTCAGTGTAAAGTTCTGAAGAAAAAGATTCATCCTGCCAAGCGTTTTTATAGACTTGTCAATTAGCTTCTTGTAAATAAAATTTTCAGCATGTAAAACTATCTTTTTGGGCAGTAATATAACAGAAATTTACCTGAAATATATTTTCATATTCGTCCAGAAGAATTATGACTATAGCTTGAGCATGGTTAGCAGCTGCAGCAGCTTGCAAAAGCTGAAAAGATCCATCATGATCTGTCTGAAAATCATTACTGATTTCACATTCGCCAGCCAGAAGTGGGCAAAGAAGTAATGGTGCCATACAAGCAGCCAAAGCAGAGAGACCCATCCTGTTCTCAGCTTTGTGAGCAGCTACAACTAGTATCATCTGGAGAATCCTGGAAGAACATAGTGCTAATGCAGAATCCAACACAGTTTATGGGAAAATAATTTTTCAAATAAAGATTTTAAATTAGTAGAAAAGTGTCCAAAGACCACTGGCTTTTTTATTGATATTCGGGGGACAGATGCTTATAGGGAAGCCAATAAAATTTGTAATCTGTAAAAGACTCATTAAATAATAATTAGTTCATTTTTCAAAAAGCATAATCTTTTTTTGTTTGATGCAAAAACAAAACAGCAATATCAAATTTCAATCTACATCTATACTTAAAAATAAAAAATGGACATTCCATTTATGAAAAGATCAGGCATTTATTCTACATAGGTTGCAGTATGTTATGATTTGAGGCAAAAATAGGCATGTCTTTCCACAAAAATTTATGGCAAACACGAATACTTTACCGTAAACACCTACAATTCGAGAGGTAGGAAATCTCTTCCAAGACTTAAACCTAAGATCTCACAACTTAATCTCATGTATTAAACCTAACCCTAAACATAACAAACATATTTATACACAACAATAAAAATAATAAAAGACTAAATTGCCCTTAGGCATACAAAAGACAAATTTGCCCTTAGGCTAGGCACCCTCGCAACATTACTCCCGCTCACCCTCCCCCTCCCCCCTCCCCTCGTCCTCAAGATGGGAAGAAATGAGAGTATTCCTCCTCCCCCACCGCAGTCTCTATCTCTTCAGTCTCTGCTTCCTCATCTTGCACTATAAGAACTTGTAATCTTGGATATTGCAACGGTATACTAGATTAAACTTCCCATCACACCGAAAATATAACCCCTTAGCTCGCTTCTCCCGGATCTATGTCTCTGTAAGGTGTTTGAGTGTTTCTTCAAGTCATGGTACATTATTCGTGTCCCGTGCAACCTCCCTTTGGACTTCCACTGTTTAAACTTTTGACATTGGCATGGTTGTGTCGGCCGTTTTATGTTCAACTTGACTTTCGTAGTTTGAAAAGGTGATGATTTTGTGATTTTGAAAATAATTTAAATATAAATATAACTTTTTTAAAGAAGTAACATTTTAATTTTTAAAATAAGTGAGACCAAACGAGTCTCGCATTTTTAATAGTTTAGATGATTTAATACAATACTACAAGCAATACATTTATCCCGAAGAATAAATATATTACTTGTAATAGGGATTTAATCATCTAGACTAAACAATTTGTGACATCCGTTTTGATCTGCGAAATATTTTATAAAAAGGCCAACAAGTTCCCCTATCTAACATAAAAATTAGATAGGGTTTATTTTATCTGGGTTCCTGGTTCCCTATAGAGGCAAGCCCCTATAGTTAATTACATCTTAAATGATCGAAATCACTTAAGATAACTCTCGATTAAGATCAGGTAGTTTTGCTTTCAAGATTTCAAAGTTTAGGTTTTCACGATTAGACATAAGAAAGTCAAATGAGAATGGCTCAAAAT